AATGGATCATTAGCACCTGATGGCTGTTTACTGTTCACAGAGGGCTGAGTGATACTAGCAATCACAGCATTGTAAGAGGGGGACAGTTGAACCCGGAGGCTCCAACCAATATAACACCCACCTCCGGGTTCAACTGTCCCCCTCTTACAATGCTGTGATTGCTAGTATCACTCAACCCCCTGTTAATAGTAAACAGACATCAGTGTGCTAATGATCCATTGTTAGGCTGAAGGTCCTTCAGAATCAGAATAAACTTTATTGGCATTGCACCGAGATACAACGTGAATATGTGCGTAGAGTCGTCCGAAGATGGGCGGAGTGCACGAAGCTGCGGCTATAAATAATTAGCGCGGCCTTCTTATTCTTATTCAGAATAATATTTTGCTTAGATAAGAAAAGGAAAGAAAACACGAGGAGAGACGGTATAAAAAAAGATCTCTCACTCCATGTCCTAGACAGGGCACGATTTGAGGCATCAACAAAACCTACCACAGCAAAGCAACATAAACAGACGTTATACATGAACATATAGGCGGTGAAGATGTTGAATTTTTAAGGGAAAGTCGTAGCATAGTCCAGACCACCCCCCCACCCCCACCCCTCAGCCATTGTCCAGATAAGAGGTGACGTTCATCTTCAGCTCAGTTGAGGTTCTGTTACATGTCCATGTCCTTGGAGAAGGGAGGGGTGAGGAAACAGTCAAAGCATCTTTGTTGTTTTCTGAACATTCCAGGAGGAGTTGAGATAAGTCCGGCATCAAGGCCACAGTTTGGGTCAGGCAGAACTCTTAATTGTTGTTTCTGCCTTTAAAGTCTCGCTGGTACATATTCTCTGATGGAAACTCCAAAACAGCCGAATTGATCCTTTACTCCAAAAGTCGAGCTCACAGCTTCTTCAGATTATTCCACCATTCATGAGTGCTGCCAGGAAGAACACAGTCCTGATAACAGCTGCTCCAATTCCCTGTCACAGCTCCACATTCAGTCCGAGCACTGTCAAGCTTCAACACCTCCACACGAATTTGTAGATGATCCAAGATTTCACCAACCAAACAGTAGATTCTAGTCGTCATCATGAATCCAATTTGTTCCTAAAAGAGGTCAGAGGGTCCTCCTTACCCTGACTCCTGTCGGGAGAAGTTGATCGATTTTGTTGAGACCAGCTGATCCTTGCAATTAAGAGGTATGCAGGAAAAAAAGAGGCTTTTTAAGGTTCACAGGACAAAAGAGC